AGGGGGCTGACGTGCACCAGGTGGTGCCAGGCAGCCTCGAGCCATTGCTGGCAGGCTTGCAGCAGCAAGTCCAGAAAGTTCACCAGAAGGTGCAGGGCGAGCTCTGGCTCCATGTTGCCACCTGTGGCGACGTCCCCGAAGGGAAGCACTGACACACACGGACGCAGAGATCAACGCTTTGCTGTCCCTCGGCGAGGTTGGCAAGCAAGCAGGGAAAGCTGAGAACCGGCTGTCCGGGGGGGTCCCTTTAAGCACGAGCCTCAGATAGCCTCAAACAGCAGCCACACAAAGCAACTACTGACCTTATGCCCTGCCAGAACCGGTTTCAGCCGCCCTTAAATGCGCCCCTGCGTCCAATCAGTGTGGACGCGCTAGTTCGAATTAGCAAAATGCTAATTCGAACTAGTTTTTAGTTCTAGATGCATTAGTTCGTATTAGCTTAGTTCGAATTAACTAATTCGAACTAAGTTAGTTCGAATTAGCGCTGTAGTGTAGACATACCCATAGGAAGTTGAGAGGGATAGTCTACCATACAAGCAAGTACTTGACTCTTGAGAATACTCGGGGTGCAGATGAAAGACCAGGGTACTCTATCTTGGTAATGATTTGCCCCCCAAAACAAAATTACAGGAAACAGTGGTGGGCAGCATGTATAGTGACATGAAAATGTGCATTCTGGAGGTCTAGGGCTGAAAACCAATCTTCCTCTTTCTGCTCCAGAATTATTTATGGAGAGGATAACCGTCCAGAATATTTGTTTTTTGACTAACCTGTTTAGCCACCAACTCTCTTTTCTCTCAAGAAATAGTGGGAATAAAACCCATTCCCTCTGTGTTGAGCAGCCTGCTCTATTGCTTCCAACTGTATGGGATGTTGAACTTCTATATGGAGCAAGTATTTGTGAGAAGGGTTCCTGAAAAGGGATGAGGAGGATGGAGAGAAATGGAATGGTATAGCCGATTGTATGATTTCAAGGACCCATCTGTTTGTGGTGATAGCTACTCAATTGGTGAAGAATGGGTGCAGACGGTGTCAAACAAATGGATGGTTACAGCAGGTGCTAGGTAGGTCATGAGGTCTCCTATACCCTTTACTAAAGCTTCACATTTGCTTGTTTGCAGTAAGGGGTTGGGTTGCTGTTGAGGGTGACGACATTGGGTTCTATGGCGTTATTATCGATGTGTATCATGTTATCTTTGGTATTGTTACGCATAGGTGGGACAGATGGTATCTGTATTGTCTCTCTTTTGTGGTAAGTTACTGAATACTGAGTAATCTGAGTGTGGCACATGACTCCTTCATGGAGTGCAAGAGGTCATTGGTCATATCCTGTTTTCTTTATCAGATGGAGTGAAGCAAGAATACTGTTGTTTACTTTTTTGATTTGCTGCCCCAGTCACCAATGAAGTGGATATGTAAAGAAGAATTCAGATCCCTTAGATGGGTCAAAATATTTCCTGCATACTCTCTTGTTGGTGTGGTTCATAGTGGCTGGGGTCTACATCACCACTTTAGCTGGTTCCATGATGATGTTATTGATTGGTATTGCTATTTTAGAGAACATGGTGGCTTACATTATGTCAGTGAACTTATGTTGGGTTTCAGATACTTTCTCAAAACTAATTTTGAGTTCATTGACTACTCTTTTGAAGAGGTCCTGGAAGAGTGTGAGCTCATCCATAGGTGCAGGGAGTAGAGGTAACTTAGCCTTCTGCACTGTGAGGGACAATTAATTGCTAATAATTGTGGCACTGAGAGCAATGTCCTATACTGGCTGGTCAGCTCTTTTCTCTGGCTCCAGGAGAGGAGGGGAAGCAGGAGGTCTAGCATCCTCTCTCTGCACCTCTTACTGCAGGGCTGGGTAAAATATGGCCCGAGGGCCGGATCCGGCCTGCGGACCACCCTGCAGGGACCCTCAGGCTCGTACTGCATGATTTAAAGCTCAGTCCGTACATCTCTCTGCTCTGCAGGGAGGGGGGAAGCTTTGTGTGATATGTCCCCCTCCCACCCAATCCTCAGCTCCTATTGGCCAGAAACAACCAGCCAATAGGAACTGACCCTAGCCAATCTCTCAGCTCCTATATGCTGGAAACAACCAGCCAATAAGAGCTGAGAGATTGGCCTGGAGAATGGGAGGAGTGCAAGACTCTTCCCCCCTCCCGGAGCTGAGAGCTACCTGTGATTTGCAGCTTGCAATTTTAAGTGATATGGGGCTGCAGCAGGCAGGGAAACCAGCCTGCCTTTGGGGTGCTGCAGGTCTGCTGGCTTAGGTAAGTGCTTCCCAACCAGAGCTTGCCTCTGGTACCCCAGCCCCTCTTGCACCCTAACTCCCTCTCCCAGGTCACCATCCAAACCCTCTGCATCCACTGCCCAAGGTCACAACTCCCTCCCAGACCCTGTACCCCTCCTACACTCCTCCCCCAACCCACTCCTCTCCTGCACTCACACTCCCTCCTAGACCCTGCACTCCAATCCCTTACCCCAAGTCACCACCTATACCCTCTGTAGTCTGCACCCCCTTTTCCCCTTCTCTCCAGTCACAGCTCCCTCCCAGACTTTGCATCCCTTCTTAGTGCCCCTCTCCCAGGCCAGAATCCTCTCCTGCACCCATACTCCCTCCGTGACTCTATATCCCTATTCCCTGACCCAGGTCACAACCCCCTCCTTTGCCCAAACTTCCTCTCAGACTTTACACTGTCTCCTGCACCCCAGTGCCTTACCCAGTGTGCCCTTCTGTGCCCAACCTCCTTCCTAGACCCTATGCATTCTCCACAGAAAAGTACAGCCTTTGATCACTTTCCAAAATCTTGGAGTGGTCCCCTACCAGAATTATTGCCCTCTTTTACAGCCTGAGGAGCTAGTCATGACAGCAAGCTGAGCGGTTTGTTTGGTAAATTTGAACTAATCTGAGCGAGAAACTGGAAATTGGGATTATGACTAATTATAAGGCAAAAATTTAGTCAAAGGTAAGGAACTGGGGCTGCTGAACTCTGTCTCTAGCCAGGGATGGTAGAGGAGGAACTGAGGAGCTCAGGCCCAGCACATACTGTTCAATCTCTGACAGCTCACAAGACACTGCACATGCACAGTCCATAGGGGAGCTGCTGTTAACATTTCCAATCGAAAGTTTAAGGATGCATCTTGATCTACAGTGGAGGACTCACAGGGACATATCTCGAAGGAGAAAATTAACTTCCTCTGTGTTCCACAACTCTCTCTGCAGGAAAATCTTGACCCTGTGCCTGGTCATTGACTGTGCTGCCACTTATGCAGGATGATGAGAAGAGCATATATAGAAAACTCCTTTATGAGCACAACTTCAGATCCACAGGGTTTGGATCAGAATTCCCGTGAGCATTTCCAGCATCTCCTGTGCTGTCCTCTGGTGCAAGCCAAGAATCTTAATTTTAAAGCCATGGATATTTGTATTGGTTTTTTTCTCTCTCAAGATTTTTATGCATTAGGAACATACATACCTAATGATGTCCTTGCAGGCACAGCATCTTTATTAATCCAAAATGAGACCCATGAAAGAACAACTGTTAATATACAAGGAATGTATGTCTGAATAGTAAAGTATCCCATGCGTCTGCTCAGATCAAAGAAGATTGTCATGATTATATAGTCCCCTACAAGGAAAAAGCCAACAATTCTAATTAGATAGTGCACATGATTTTCTGACTCATAATTTGTCAGAATTCTTGTTCCGAATATATACCATGTTGTAAAATTTACAGTTGGAAACATAGTACTTTCCTTTTAAATAAAACTGCCAAAGGACTTTTGTGCATTATAACAGGTCATGTGCAATTCTGTTTTGCCCTAGACACTAGCAGCACCCACACAAATATAATGGTTTCTTACAACATAAGAACGGTCATACTGGCTATCCAGGTACCTAGTATCCTATCTTTCAGCAGTGGCCAATGCAAGGTGCCCCAGAAGGGATGAACAGAACAAGTAATCATCAAGTGATCTAACTCCTGTCATCTGGTCCCAGCTCTGACAAACAGAGGCTAGAGACACGATCTCTGCCCATCCTGGCTAGTAGTCATTGATGGACCTATCTTCCAAGAATTTATCTAGTTCTTCTTCAACCCTATTGAAGTCCTGCCCATCACAATATCTGTGCATTGTGTGAAGAAATACTTTCTTTTGTTGGTTTTAAACCTGCTGCCTGTTGATTTCATTTGGTGACCCCCTAGTTCTTGTGTTATGGGAAGCAGTAAATAATTTTTTCTTATTTAATTTCTCCACACCAGTCATGATTTTATAGCCCTCAAACATATTGCCCGTAGTCATCTCTTTTCCAAGCTGAAAAGTCCCAGACTTATTAATTATGCTCATATGGCAGCCATGCCATACCAAAATTATTTTTGTTACCCTTTTATGAACCTTTTCCAATTCCAATAAATCTTTCTTGAGATGAGGCACCTGTTATTCTGCACATATTATTCAAGATGTGGAAGTATAATGCATTATATAGGGGCAATGTGATATTTTGGCTACGTCTACACTGGCAGCTTCTTGCGGAAGAACAGCCGTTCTTCCACAAAAACTTATCTGCTGTCTATACTGCATGAGCGTTCTTCCAGAAGTAAATTTACAGTATAGCATTGTAAAATAGGGCTTCTTCCAGAAGAGTTATTCCTCTCCCCAGGTATGTCTACACTACAAAGTTAATTCGAACTAACAGATGTTTGATAGGTGCTACACATACAAACCGCTAGTTCGAACTTAATTTGAACTAGCGGAGCACTTAATTCGAACTAGGTAAACCTCATTCTACGAGGACTAACGCCTAGTTCGAATTAAGTAGTTCGAATTAAGGGGTGTGTAGCCACTTAATTCGAACTAGTGGGAGGCTAGCCCTTCCCAGGTTTCCCTGGTGGCCACTCTGGGCACCACCAGGGAAACTCTTCTGCCCCCCTCCCGGCCCTGGAGCCCTTAAAGGGGCACGGTCTGGGTACAGTGCCTGTGCCAGGTGCAAGCCTGCCAGCACCCAGCCAGCAGACCCTGCACCTGGCACGGCACGAGCCAGCCACTTGCTCCCACCCAGCCCTCTGCCTCTTCCCAGGACGAGGTTGGCAGCTCCTGGGAGCCTGCCCGGGGCCACAAGAGGCGGGCGCCCACCTGGTCTAATGCAGAGCTCGTGGACCTCATCGAGGTTTGGGGGGAGGCCTCCAACATCCACGACCTCCGCACTAGGCACAGGAAAGTGGCCATCTAGGGCAGGATAG